GTCGGTGTCCCTGCACCTAATTTTGAACAATCCGTCGTGTAAAGAAGGAGTGAAGTATAGAAATTGATAATTCTCGGTTGTTTGATTGAGCTTGTCGATGATAATTTTCAATTTTTTTTAATAGCCCAACTGTGCAGAACATAATGTGCCAGATTTTTCGAATCTGTTGTGAGTACTGTAGGTGGCCACCATACCTTACATATCCAAGCCCGCTTTCTTTGGAGTCTAATTTGCTATTGAAACAGCAGTTTCCTTACCTCCCCTGGGTCAGACCTGACGGCATACAGTTTCAATTGATAGCGAGTAAATACGATTCATTTTTCATAACGAGACAACAAGCTACAATCCGAATGCCTTTAATTTATGTACCTATTCAACAAGTAAAGGCAAGAACTTCATTGTTGAGTAAAACAATTTTTCAAGTTACAGCGATCGGACAAAAAACCTTGTCGTGCGTTCACTTTACGGAACCTGAATATTATAAAGCTGAAGAGTTTTGTTTTTTGTTTTTATGGTAATCAAATTTGCTCTTCTAAAATAATGCATTATTTCCTAAGGTGTTTTTATAGCAGCGTGATATTAATCTTTATTCAAATAAAATACGTTATTCATCCACAGATAATTTAATTTTGAACAAAATTGCCCTTGACATCATTTGATACCGGCCGCCCCTGTAGCTCTGGCGAGCAAAAAGTAACTTTTCCACGCGAAACGAAGTCGTGTGCAGTCTTATATATTTATTGTTTTTGTCCCTCTTTAATCGTGACGCATTTTCGCTTCATGGAGTTTCAAATCACAACGATTTCTAAGTTTCAGGTCAAAAAGTTTCTAAATTCTATAATTGTAATTTTGGTCTATTTTACTTAAAATTGTTTCATTTAGTGAGATAACAATTAATCGAAAACAATCCCCGTGGGACCGTTTTGCAATACGGAAAAATAACATATTAAACGCAATTTAATTTATTAATAAAGATTAGTTTAGTACTATCGATTCCATTACTTGTTATTTATTAAATTAACTGCTTCCACAGCCTAAATTAAATGTTTATCGTAATGTCCGTGTTATCGCATTATATGGATTGATATATTTATATTAGATACCGACGTTTCAAAAACCTACATATCCCGCGGGAATGAACTTTATGTTATTAACTACGAATACTGAATGATATAATAACGAAATAAGGTGTTTTGAAATAAAATTCTATTAAGTATAGTAGTACTGCAATCACCGGCCAAACCACAATATTTTCTATGCTCGGAGTTTTTAATCTATAATGGCGTTGGGATCCGTACATCTAATAATCTTGTTATGCAATACTGCCTGAAAGCTCGACAACATAAGTAAGTAGTTGGAGACGTAGCAATCTGAAGTGGCGCCTAGGGCAAGAAACGATAGTCTCCGCTCGTTTGTAAATTATTCAAATACAAAACACGCTGTATCTGGCATAATAAAAATAATTATGTTTATATTAGCATTGCCCGCCGACTTCCGCCCGCGTTCAGACGACCTAAAAACCAATTCTTTGGTTTTAACATATTAATTGTAGATTATGTACATATATAGAAGTTTTTCATTTCGCACCGCAAGATTCAGAAACATGGCGGTGATTGGCATAGCAACAAATGTACCTCTTTTAATCTGATATTCAATTTACTCGTGCAGTACATGTGGTGCAATTTTCGGATTGAAAGACAACATTTTTAGTATGTCTATGCTTTTATACTAATAATTGTACGATACGAATATAGAGAAAATATTTAGATTTTTTTTATTACGGCCCGTACGATTTTCAATTTAATAGTTTTTGTAAATGTTTGTTCTTAGCTTAAAATATAAAAATCTGGGCAAGTGTAGATTTTCAGGAGGAGGTACCCCTACATAATGGAAATATTTCTAAGTCACATTTTTTTATCATTTCTTATAGCTTCGGCTCACCTATATACTGTAAAATCATAATCATTGTAGTTTTTTTTTAAATAAACGTTCCTTCTTTATCTTTCAATAAATGGTGTCAAAAAATCTACTTTATAACGACAATTTCTTTTCAGAATAATTATATAGAATATTCTCAGAATAAACTTATATGGAATATTTTCAGTCATATCCGCTTGGTCAGTTTAGCTACCGCAAACTATTTGTTTTTGTATAATAAGTTAAAATTAGAATATACGTACGACAAATTTATTTATTTGATTATTTATGATAAAATATCGCTGTCGTGAAGACATAAATATTCATATTTCATTTTTAGAATAGTTCACAATACGTAAGTAAGTAAAAAAAAACAGTATTTGGCATAACGGAACCGTTGATGTGCGAATTGTACCGGCAGATCTCCCGATTTTTGTATTTAAGTGAATTTACAAACATTATTTATTAAATAATAGGAAAATTCTAATATTTTTCATTTGTGAAAAAAAAAAACGGACGGAGCCGCACATAATGCTAATAGTTCTAATCAAATCATAGAAACTTCATATCTCCTTCATACATTTATTCGACATCTAGTACGATGAATATCTAAATTACATCTAATTAAATATTCGGAGACTTATTTTTATGCACAAAATATCGCCTATTGGTATAAATTTTTGTAAAGAGAAGCTATTTATAATTATTTTGTAAGTTAACCTTGTTAAAATGTTTATAGTTACAGCGTAGATTTTAATTACAACCGGTTTTTGTATTTTTTCTCAGAGATGAGATTATTTTCTAGTATAGTATTAGGTATAAATTCCACTAATAAGCTTATATTTTCAACAAAAATAGATTCATAACTTTTTGAAAGAACTATTCTATAGGTATTTCTTTGCGGGCTTTGCATTGATCAAAGTTGGGTCATTAAAACTTTCCGATAGGATTCCTGACTCTCAAATAGAATTTTTAGAAAAGAAAAAATAGTAATTTTTTGCTTTATAGGAAGATTTATGAAAGCCTCAATGCTGTTTATCTACATCTACAACTACAGATCTCAACATGTTTGACAATTTTTTGTTTTGATACTAGCATTCAACTTGACTTTGTATTAGACTGTTCACTGTCCTGAATGTACTTTTCGCTGAATTTCCTATACTTTTCCATATTAATTAAATGTAGAAATAATTAATAAAGCTTTAAAAAATTTTGTGGGACTTAAACTGAATTTGTTTTGTGGAGAATATAAACTGTATGAAACCCCAGATCATAGCCATTGCCCATTTTTTGTAGTCACTATGAAATGTCACATAACTACTGTAATATCATTAATTTTTCCGAGATTTTTGTGAATAGATTTGGATATATAATTTATCTCGCCCCTTTTGAGTTTGCTTTAAATTAAAATATTATGTATTTCTGATTAAGACCGATTCAAATGTCTTAATATGTTTCTACTCTAAATGAATAGCATGTTTATGTACTAGTAGCTATTCACATGAAAATCATTATCCTCCCTTTGGTAAATAAAATCAGGACTCCACTTAGTTAGTTTTCCCCCAAGTTCTTTCTTGTGACTTTGCAAACTGGTGGTCAATAGCTTTTCGCGAGTAATTATTGAAGTTCAAACGTAACAAACGTAAAGCTGTACGATTTGTTCTTGTCCTGCTTAAAAAAGAAAGAAATTTTGCTATCTCTTACATCTATTTGTTAGATATTTAAAGAAATACACATATATCAAATAAGCCACGAACTTAAAAAAAAAGTTAAAAAGCGGAGTTTAATAAAAACATGTGCAAAAGCACAGAAGAAATCTATAACTTTTGTACGCAAAAAATTATAATAATTTTATTTTTATATAATAATTGTTGTTATTAAAAGTTTGGTTGTCATTATTTTAAATATTGACTTCGTTCTGCGTGCATGCGTGAGTATGTAATGCGCGATTATTTTTATCATAATACGTATTGAGGCCTCTTTTATTTACAAGGTTATATTATTATATTTTATTTTTGGCATATTAATACTTTGTTCCTATTACGAAGGTTTAACAGTTGCTATTATTATGTACACAAAAATTTGTTTATTAAGCCTATTGAATAGCTAAATGATTCACTTAAAATTAGATATAATTTATAAGACAAGAGAGTAGCAAAGACTGCTTGGTGTCCCTCGGTTATATTATTATTATAATGTAACGTTGAAATTATCAAAGGATCGAAAGTCAGACAGGCTATTTGCATAGCAATTGACAACACTTGTCTTATAATTCCTTTGAGTTTAAAAGTGAGATTACTTTCTAGATAGTTTT